AGGTGTATTACTTGCTATGATCTTTAGAGAACTTCATGGTGCATATAATTGTCAATGGCTCAAAGTAGTGATCTGAGGACAAAAGTTAGCAGAGTTTTGATATCCTGAGACCATTTTGCAATCACTGCTGATCTTTTGTGTTATCAAGGATAAAAATCATGAAAGAGTTGGAGTAATGAAAGTATAACATGAAAAATAAATAACATAATTGAACTTTGGGTATAATGTAGAGGTACATAATTAAAATTCTTGCTCTTTTAAAGTGACTTATTAGGGTCTCCCTGGTGGCCTACGGGTTATGTTCAGCACTATCACACTACTAGCCTTGCGGTCTGAGTTCGATCCCTGGCCAGGGAGCCGAAATACATGGCTCAGCAGACCTCTCTTGTCACTCCCGCTGCTTCCATCAGCAGTTCATTTCAATAAATCAGCCTGTTCTGCTCTCTGCTCTGTCTCTGGTGAATCCTCTCACGTTTCCACCCCCCCACAATTCTGGCCTATATCCTAGTTCTTGTATGCATAAATAAAACTTTTGGGGGAAAAAAAAGGTGACATTAAAGAGCTGTAGAGGGCCCTCCCTTGCAGCGCAGCGGGTTAAAGCACAGCACTAAGAAGCTTCAGCCACTTCCGCATGAGTTCAATCCCCGCCTGCCCCGGAGGAGATCCACATGGCGAGGCAGATCTGTCCTGACCCGCCCGCTGCTCCCCTCAGCGGTGTACTTCGTCGATCTGCTCCCCACTCTGTCCTTGGTGAATCCTCTCATCCTCCGCATCTCTGGTCTGTACCCCAGTTCTGTATGAATAAATAGGTAAATCTTTAAAAAAAAAAAAACTGTAGAGAAGGAAGCACCTTGAACTTACACTCACCCGCCTGGCCCTGTTCATAAGTGGACATGTTCTAAGGGTCTCAGCTTGTCACTTGCATAAAAAGGACAAACGATGAGTGCCTCCCAGATGCTAGGGGCTTTGCATGTGTTATTCAAGATACAATCAAATCCTTTACCATACGGAACTATTAGGACAATAAAGTTAGTTAAATAATGTATGTTATAGATACATTGTAAGAGTTTAAAATATTACAAAAAGGTGATAAAATTTTTATTCCCTAAGTATTCATTTGCACTTAAAATTTAGATATAAGCAAATTCGAACGTGGGATTATGGAAGCTACCTATTTGGTCCTAAATTTTGCATTTCCTAAATTTAATTGCCTAAATTAATTTTTTATTTGTTAACTTCTTTTAAAAGTTTTTGAAAAACTGTACTGTGAATTTACAATATTCTGTGTTCATTGTTAATCACAGAGTTTTCTTTTTGTGTTATTTATCCTCTTAGTAACTTTTTTGAGTTACTGATACATGCGAGACTAGGGTACAGGCCAGAGATGTTGAGGTGACAGCATAATCTAGAGAGACAGTGGGGAACAGAACAGATGCATTAACTAAAACACACTGCTGAGGGGAGCAGTGGGAGAGGCAGGAGAGGTCTGCTGCGCCATGTGGGTTAGCTCCCTGCCCTGGAATTGAACTTGTGCTGCAGTGGCTGCAGATAGCTTCATAGCGCTGTGCTTTAACCCCTTGCACCACAAGGGAGGGCCCTCTTAGTAAATTTTGTAGTGACTCTATGAGGTAAATAATATACCATTTCACTACTGAAACTGAGGCTCTGTCACCAAGCTCACCCTAGTAAGAAGTAGCATCAGCGTTCTCATGTGGGTTTTCCCAGCTCCTTATTGAGTCACATCACAGATAGAACTTACTGTCAGTCTGTAATGGATTACCTGCTCATTGGGTGGCTCTAGCACATTTCCATTTTTACTTGTCGCATTTATTTTGCAAATATTTGAGCACCTGCTATGTACTAGACATGCTTCCAGGAGTAAAGAGATTCAGCATTTAATAAAGCAGGCAAGAAATCTCTGCCCTTGGGGAGCTTAGGTTCTGGCTAACATGCTACTTAAAAGATTAGAATGTGTGTCTAATGTGCCTAATGGTAATAGTTGGTTTCAAGAAAAGCAGGAAGAGGGACTGGGGGGGGGCAGAAGTTTATACTACTTTGACTGTAAGAATTAGAATTACAGTCTGAAGGATAAAGAATGAGAATGGGGGGCTTCTTGTGTAACTGATATTAAGTCAGAGTTCAAAAGAAACCTCAGGGGCCCTCCCTGGTGGTGCAGCAGGTTAAAGCACAGCACTGAGAAGCTAAAGCCACTTCAACATGAGTTCCATCCCCACCCTGGAGGTGACCACATGGTGCAGCAGACCTCTCCTGACCTGCCCACTGCTCCCCTCAGCAGTGTACTTCGTCATTCTGCCTGTTCTGCTCCCCACTCTGTCTCTGGTGAGTCCTCTCACCGCCTCTGGACTTCTGGCTTGTACCCCAGTTCTGTATGCACAAATAAATCTTTAAAAAAAAAAAAAAGAAGAAAAGAAACTTCAGAACAGAGGCTGTGAACATTAGAGAATTTTGCCAGAATACTATCTAGTGCTCCCTCTCTTACTGGGGAGGCCAAGGCAGAGTTCGGTCTTGTCCGGAACCCGTGGAGCTCCTGGATTCCCCTTCCCTTCTGTATGTGTAGGACAAAGAAGGTGCATCGTCTTCTCCGACTTTCCCACACTGCTTTGTGTTTTGGTAAACCTCATTCCCACAAGTGATTCAGTCACTTTCAGGTGCCAAAACAAACTGCAGTGTCTTATAAAGTGCAATTTCTTATCAACCTCTCAAAGAAGTTAAGTTGAAATTCGAGCCTGCCAAATCTTCCCAGTTTCATAGCGTAAATACCAAAGTATATTCTTCTTGAGTCTAGAGGATTATAGGAAGCTGTCAGTGATTCTGACATCAGAGCTCGAGGGCTTTCTCAGGCCTGTCACTATTAGTCCCATTTGAAAACATGGAGAAAAGGCTCAGTAAGCTCTGAAAGTACAAGTTCTTAAAAAATGAACACTCCTTTACCCGATGCTGAGTTTTCTGGGGACAAGACCCCAGTAAATAGTGACATTGAAAATAATTTATAATCTATTAGAAGGAGCGTGGCTTCGGGAATCAATTCTAGCCTTGCTTCTACCCAGTTAAAATAATTACCTTGAGCAAAATTTAACATCTCTCGAAACCTTGCTCTCATCTATGAAATAGATTCTTATGGATTACGTTAGGAAGCACTCACCAGCCACTTGAGCGACAGCGGCAGATACTATAAAATTGAGAAATGAAATGGAAATAAGGCCATCAATTCATTTGACTTTGGGGTGAACTAGGCAGGTAGCCAGAAGGCTACAAGAGAGTGGAAGGTGGGTGGTGAATGATGAGGTGGAGTGGATGGGGTACAGGAGGGCACCCCCCTCGAGATACTTAAGTGTACAGCGTCAGCCAAGCCCTTACCTCTGCTGCTGTGCTTCTGAGCTCTCCGTGTTGAGGACCGCTCCTTTCCCAGCATGTTCCCTTACTACTTCTTCACCCTAAATCAACCTGTTTTTATTAGCTTGTTACATTTGCCTCTGTTCTCTACTAAACTGGAGCTCCTTTTGGGCAAGAATCCGATTTCTGTTGTTGACCATATTCTGTTTATACTATAAACAATATTCATGGACCAGATGAAGCAGAACTCAAAAAAAAAACACCCAGAGATCTGATCACAGAATTGAGGCTACCAAAGGGGAAGAGGACCTTATGGGGGAGGGCAGTTGGTGGCTTGGTGGTGGGTATGTTAACACACCTGAAGTGGTGTGAACCTGTGCCCTTAAATCATGTACAGTGCTACAAACTTAGCTCAATGAGAACTGACACCGTATTTTAAAGTACATTTGTGTACCTTTGCTACACTGCACATTTAGATTTAGTCCTGTGAATTGTAGCGCTGTGATGGCCGTTAAGCAAGGAAATGTGTGAAGATAGAAAGCAGCTCAGGGCTTGAGCCAAGGGTCGTAGGTTGAGTTAAGTGACCTTTCTTCTCTTGGGGTTGCTACTTCCTTATGGTTATCAGTGTTGATGACTTTTATGTTTCTTTGAGCTATAGTATTTAGGGATCGTGTAAACTCTGCTGCCAGGTCTTCAGATGAGAACTTTTGAGGAGAAAATAGTGCTTGGCACATAGTGTATGCTCAATAAATATATATTCAATTAAAAACCCAAAGCATAAATTAAGGCTGCTTAATTGGAGAGATTAAGCTGAGAGTTTTACCCCTTTGAGGTACAAAATGAGCACAGAGCTAGAGCTACTTTTGTTAATTAGTTTGAGCTCTCCCAGTATAATGTTGTATTATTTGTTCTGTTGCTGTTTTGGCAACCGAATGGGAACATTGCCAAAAAGAATACAGAACCAGTTTTTTAAATGGTAGATACATGGGAGTTTGATTCCAGCAGTCAATAAAAAATTGAATGGCTTTTCATAAATGACACATTTTTATACTTGCTGGGTATTTTTGGCACAACACTCTTTTATTGGTACTCAGTTGAGTTCTAAGAAGCCATGGGATGGGAAGATTGAGTTTTTAAGGGACTTTCCAGCTTTAGGATTTATGCTTGCCCTGCTTTAAACTTATTTTGGAGTTACTGTGAATTTTTCTTTTGTAAAAATATGTTGTTAGTATTTTAAGCATCAATAGTTTTAGGTAAATCTTAGTTAATGTCCTAAAGGCTTTCAATTTCATTTATGCATACAGCTTTACAAATGACAAGATCACAAACAAAAGTTGAGTACTTAATTGTTTTCAAAGGCCAAGAATAGAGTCACAACATATGCCAAAGAAATCACAGTAGGTAGGCTGAGTTATTCTTAAGACAATATGTTTTGTTTATTTTTTGAATCTGAAATATCTTCACCCCAGATAGCTTCAGATTCCCTTATTACATAGAATTTGCCTAAACTATAAGTGATGATAACCTTGGGAACATAGTTGGAAAGAATTTTTTGTTTTTCCAAATGTGTTTTGTAAGAATTAAGAGCATAATTGAGTATCTGGCAGACATTCTATATGAGTATCTTTATGGTTTTTGTTTTTCAGGCATTTTAAAAATATTTAATCATTCATGAGTTGAGCTTCATTCTTGAGTCATGGATGACAAGGCTTCTGTTGGAAAAATCAGTGTCTCCTCAGACTCAGTGTCTACTCTTAATAGTGAAGATTTTGTCTTGGTTTCCAGGCAAGGAGATGAGACACCATCTACAAATAATGGAAGTGACGACGAGAAAACTGGACTCAAGGTAAACGCCATCACTTGAGGTCTTTTGCTTAGCCTTGCTAAGCGTATTCTAAAACTCAGCTGTAACAGGAAGGTACATGGAGTGAGGAGGAGGGTGTGGAAATAATCCCCTTCCATTTTTGGTGGTGAAGATTTTTATTTGCACTTAATAGTAGCAATCTGTATTTGATTTGATAAAGGATTTTCAGTTTTATTAGTTTCTAAATCTTATTCCTTGTCAAAAGTAGTAGTGGTCATATATAACATTTATGATGATAGTGTTGTTTTCTCTTTCCCATTGAATTAGAGGATACCGTTTCTTTTGGGTCTGATGTATACAATATAAGGCTATTGTGGGTCAGCAATGCTATTTATCAAAGTAACTTTTAGGATTACTGAGACAGAACTTTTGAGTTCTGTCTTTTGAGGTACCCTTTGACCACTTCTTTATATTTTCTCATTCAAATAGATAGATACTTTTTCCATTCTTTGTTACTGTTTTGTTCTTTATGGCTATAAAGAAAAATAAATTACCTGTTAATTTTGTTTAAAATGTAAGTAGCTTTTAACTGTTTCCATTCTTGTTTACAAGTATCAATTCAAGTATTTATTGAGTATTGACTGCATGCCAAGTACTGTTAAAAGATTAAGGATTTAGTGGTGAATAAGATGGGTAAAGCCCACTAGCCCTTTAGAGCTTTTATTCTTTTTTTTTAAAGACTTATTTACTTATGCATATGTGAACTGGGGTACAGGCCAGAGGTGTGAGGGGTGAGAGGACTCACAGAGACAGAGTGGGATAGCAGCACTGGCAGATTGACAAGGTACATTGCTGAGGGGAGCAGCGGGCAGGTCAGGAGAGGTCTGCTAGGCTGTGTGGGCCACCTCCAGGACCGGGAATCGAGCTCATGCTGCAGAGGCTGCTAGTCACTTCTTAGTGCTGGGCTTTAACCTGTTGTGCCCCCAGAGAGGGCCCCAAGACCTTTAAATCTTATGGGATATAGACTTTAATCAAATGAAGTAAATACATTACATAAGTTAGGTGTTGAAAAAAGGAAAACAAAACCAAAGCAGAATACATGGATCAAACATGAAGGGCAGTTACTATGTTAGAAAATGTCTTGAAAATTCTCTAAAAAAACACCTCCACATTTGACATCCCACCAACCCATCAAAGCTGTACATGGGTTACCTATCACTGGATTACCCTTTAACCATTTTTATTTATTGTATTCACTCTGCTCTAGCTCCTGTCCTAACAACAATCATCCCTCTCAAGATTTTTCTATTCTCTGTTCCCTATAGAATAGAATTCTCCAAGACCTTCTTCTTCATTTCCTTCAGGTTTCTGCCCTTCATGTTTGATCCATGTATTCTGCTTTGGTTTTGTTTTCCTTTTTTCAATGGGTGTTGAAAAAAGACCTGAAGGAAATGAAGAAGAAGGTCTTGGAGAATTCTATTCTATAGGGAACAGAGAATAGAAAAATCTTGAGAGGGATGATTGTTGTTAGGACAGGAGCTAGAGCAGAGTGAATACAATAAATAAAAATGGTTAAAGGGTAATCCAGTGATAGGTAACCCATGTACAGCTTTGATGGGTTGGTGGGATGTCAAATGTGGAGGTGTTTTTTTAGAGAATTTTCAATGGAGATAGGGTCTAATTTACATTTTAAAAATTACTGAGACTTTCCATCATGACAGCAAGAAACACTGTGGACCCCATGCCCCAGCAAAACAGGACCGTTATTTAAAAAATCAACCATTTTAGGTCTCAGGAAATGTTTTTAAGGACATACAGAAATAAAAAGCTATTTTGGAAGTTTACTAAAATTCAATAAATTTTAATAATTTAAATTTAGTAATTTATAGTTAGTAATTTAGATATTTAAGTGAAGACTCATTTCTTCCCTTTTTTCTGCCAGTGGAGCAAGATGGTCATTCTATCTCAGACTGGTACAGTCAAGAAGACAGAGCTCCCTCACACTGTCTCCCACTCCCATTTAGAGGGCTCTCCTCTGGGGAAGAGCAGCATGGCAGCTCTAATCCTGCCTTTACCTACTTTCTGCTGACTAAGTGTGACGGAGTGACAGATTTTCTGCCTAAACTTTACTACTAAGATGGAGATTCTACTTTGATCACAATAGTCCTAGAATATCAAGAACCTGATGTCCTTGCCCTAACTCTGGCACTTAGGGTGGTGGTTGTACATCAGAAGAGGCAGGCCAAGAAGTCCTGAGTATATTGTACCACCTCCCACGCCTACCAGGTGCTAAGCCTCTGAAAATGGGGTGCCGTTCAGACACAGGCATCTGACTTCATGGTGGTGGCTCAGAGATTCTGCCTCAAGTGAAAGACAGGCTATTCAACACCTAATCTCTTCTCAAAGGAGCTGACTTCATTTATAACAGCATTGAAAAACTGAAACTTAAGGTGATTCTCCAAAATAGAGGAGGCTGTGGTGAAAGGTCATTGGGAAGAAATTGGTAGATGGATTGAATCTACAGATCTCACTGGAAGTTCACTGGGAAGACACTGTAGATTTGTTGGAATCAGAACAAATTTCCAACATTGACCTCTGGAACACTCCCTTTAAAGTAATCTTAACTTGACTGATTTATTCTGTGGAAGGATTAGACCTAAGTGCACTGTGAAAAAAACTAGAGGGTAATTACCCATAATAAGCAGAGTTTAATGTTAGGTGTGGTCAGAGTAAGATACAGGGTGCCCTGCCAAAACTTCCTTAATTCCAGAATGACTGTGGGCAAATCCAAATCCCAGAGGAACAGTATCAGAGGCTTAACATTATGGAATTGAGGGAAGAGAGGCTATTGAGATAAAGCACCACTCACTTAAGAGAACAAACAAGCATAAGTAAATTCCGAGTCCCAGATAGGGGAGAGCAGTTGGTACAACATGTTATCTAAAATACTAGTTTCCACTAGAAAAATTAAGTAAGGACCTTCCTGGTATTAAGTCTTTGTACTATCAGCTATCACTAGCCACTGTGCCACGAGTTCAATCCCCAGCCAAGGAGCTGACCCACATGGCATAGCAGACCTCTTCTGTCTCATCCAATGCTCCCTTCAGCAGTATATTTCAGTCAGTCCACCTGTTCTGCATCCTACTCTCTCTGTTGAATCCTCTCACCACCACCACCCCCAACCCTGCACCTCTGGTCTATACCTCAGCTCTTGTATGCATAAGTGAATCTTTAAAAGAATTAAATAAGGGCAAGAAGTAGATACTGCTTGTGAGAGTAACATGTTGAATATAATGAGTAAATTTGTCAAAAAAGCCATTATTAGTATGCTCATTGAACTTTAAAAATCCTCCTTAAAAGAAAATATGATGACAGTGTCAAATAGAAATTGACATTAAGGAGATACACACTTGCAAAAAAAAAAAAGAAAGAAAGAAAGAAAGAAAATTCTACAGCAAAAAAAAAAAAATTGAATGGAAAAATTCAACAAGGACTCAATAGTGAATTTCACCTGGCAAAAGAATGACTTAATGGACAATGATGTCTTGAAACGGTAGTTTTCTATCATCCTATCCCTAAGGATCATGAATTTAGATGATATGGACTAGAGTCCCTTTGTGGAAATCTGAGAGTCCAACAGAGAAGGTACGGCACACTTTTGGAGCAAAAACATCCAAAATATGACCCATTGATGATGATAAGAAGAATAGTTTCACTTTAGCTATGTCATTTCTTCAAGCATAGCTCAGTTTCAAGAGAGTACTCAACCTGAGTTTCTCCCACGGGGAAATAAGAGCATGTGATTCAGCGCTTGGCTTTTCTCACTGTGAGGGATGCTCCCCAAAAGGCCCAGTTCTTTTTCACCCTGTCCAGAGGTAATGAGCTGTGAACTGCATGACTTGAAGGCGGACTGGGGAGAACAGCAGCCAGGGGTTGGAGCAGAATGTGTCAAAGTACATAAATCCTGCTCCTGCAGGAGGCCGTCCTGCAAGCGATTGGGGATGTCTCATCTCTATAGACTGACTCCTAACTTGCGCATGGGCGCCTCCTACACCCTCATACCTCAACCAGCACAATACTGCTCTGTGACTGCCTCCTTGTGCACATACCCAAGGGCAAGAATGGTAGGATCCAGCCTTCGCAGGTGGCCGTGATGAGCATGTGAAAGTCAGCCTGACTGTGGAGTAGGAGAAACCGCATTATGGAAAGCCAGTTTAATACAAATCATCAACAGGAGACTGGAGCAGACAGGAGAAAGAATTTGTGAAGTAGAAGACAAATGACTTAAAATGATCTAGTTGCATAACAAAGGGCAAAATGAAAATGTGAAAATTTACGTTAACTGTTAGATACCATTAATGAGCTATGCATTATTGAAACAAAGGAGAAGAAATGAAGAACTGGACAGAAGTTACTTGGAGAACTAATGATTATGAACTGCCAGCATTTGGGGAGAGATTCAGACATACAACTTCACAAAACTTACAAGTTCCCCAGCAATTTCAACCCAAAATGAACCTCTCTGAGATATAATAAAAATGTTTAAAATAAAAAGTTTTTAAAGGTGTAAGAGAAAAATAAAGAAACATTAACAAGAGAAGCCTTGCAGGCTATAAAGTAGTGTTTGTTCTAAATGCCAGAACAAAGATGCCAGTGAAGAGTATTTAACTCCTCAAAGTTGCCCTTCAGTAACTAAGATGGTAAGATGGTAGACATAGTAAGTCCTAGAGGTGATGTCCTTCAGGAGAGGAGAAAGATAATCCCGAACAAAACTGAGGGGTTAATCATTAATAGATGACACAAGAAATTCTGAAAGTTCTTCATCGTGTAGTGAGAGGATACTAATTAGTAACAGTCCAGCATTCAGGGTATGCAGAGGAGGACATGCTGGGCCCTCTGGTACATAGTTGGAGATTTTATTGAGTCTTGAGGTGGGAGCTCTAGTGAGCTGTACTGGTAACACAGAAGCCAGAAATCTGTAATCCTCTCTGTGAAGAGTATAAAGGGTGACTGTTGCTGGTGTGGGGGACATGGTGATAGTC